ATCAGAAAGTAACACATATTTATTACTAGATTATTTCTTAGAAGGCTGGCACTCTCTAGTAGATCTTCTCAACCCCTCTTCAACTAACACCTTAAGAGGAACATTCTCTTGAATTTGATCTGGTTCTACATTACCCTGTGTAGAGGCTTCATCAAGTCTGTCTCCTATAGTGTCATTTTCTTCTTGCACATTTTCTCTGTGATCATCATGTACCACAGGATCTGGTAGTGGTACATGTGGAACTGAACTGATTTGTTCTTCATTGACTGTATTTGGCTTCTTAGTCCTATCCAAATCTTCAATGGTTTCATTCTCAAAGAATACAACATCTCTGCTTCTGATAATCTTTTTGTTCACTGGATCCCACAATCTGTACCCAAATTCTTCATGTGCATAACCCAAGAAGATACACTGTTTTGCTTTGCTATCCAGATTGGACCTTTCATCTTTAGGAATATGTAACAGATACCCGACAGCCAAAAACTATCAAGTGATCAAGAGATAGATCTTTCTCTGTCCAAAAGCTCTGTGGAACATCACCATTCAAAGGAATTGATGGAGAAAGATTAATCAAGTCAACTGCTGTCCTCATTGCCTCAGCCCAGAAGTGCTTAGGTAATTTTGCATGAGAGAGCATACATCTGATCTTCTCACAAATAGTCCTGTTCATTCTTTCTGCCACCCCATTTTGTTGTGTGGTCTTTGGAACAGTTTTCTCAAGCTTGATGCCATGTCTTCTGCAGTACTTTTCAAATGGCCCTCTGTATTTACCACCATTATCTGCTCTGACACATTTTGACTGTCTTCCAGTTTCTCTTTCAACTTTCAAATGAAAGTCTTTAAATACTTCCAGCACCTGATCTTTAGACTTCAAAGAATATACAAACACTTTTCTAGAGTGATCATCAATAAATGTAACATAATACAATGCACCACCTAGAGATTTACTTTGCATCATGCAAACATCAGTATGCGCTAAATCAAGAATGTGAGTTTTTCTAAATGCGGAGAATCTATGAAATGCAACTCTAGTTTGCTTATCAAATAAGCAATGAGTACAAGGGATTAGTGATGTACCTTTCATATTGTGTAGGAGTTTTTTTCTAGTAAGAATTTGAAGTCCCTTTTCACTCATGTGACCAAGCCGCTTATGCCATAGCTCAGTAGAGGCTTCATTTTCAGCAATATTCACATTTCCGTGAATTAGTTTTGCTTCTGTTTTGTAGAGACCATTAGTCTTCTTCCCTCTGGCTAAAACAAGAGAACCCTTTGTAAGTTTCCAAGAACCACCTCCAAGGTGATTATGATAGCCTTCTTCATTAAACTTTCCAACAGAAATCAAGTTGCGGCACATATCAGGAACATGTTTGACACCCCTAATAAATAACTTGCTACCAATGCTAGTTTCCAATTGTAGATCCCCCATACCAACAATTCTTGCTTTAGCTTCATTTCCCATCCCGATCCAACCAAAATCACCACTAGTATAGGATGAAAAGAAATCCCTACGTGGAGTAATATGAACAGAAGCTCCTGTATCAACTATCCACGTAGAATCCTGGCATGAAAGGCTAGCAAATGCTTCATCACAAGCAACAAATACATCTGCATCAGATACAACTACTGCAGTCTCTTTTTGTTCTTTCTGTTCTTCACCTTTCAATTTTGACTGTTCTCTTTTCCATTTTCTGCACTCCTTTTTAAGATGCCCCAGATTGCCACAATGATAACATTTTATCCCTTTTCTTGACTTTGATCTTCTTCTAGACTTGTCACTACTGTCATCACCATAAGGTTTCCTGCTTTGGTTTCTCCCCCTTCTTTCTGTAACAAGTGCTTCAGAGTTAAAAGAAGCACCTTGCTCCTTTCTTCTGGCTTCTTCATTAAACATATTGTCTTTCACCATGTTGACAGTGATCACACCATTCGGAGCTGAATTACTCAGAGAGACAACTAAAGTTTCCCAACTATCTGGTAATGAACTCAACGGAAGTAAAGCATGCACCTCACCATCTAGTATAAGCTTCATGGTAGTCAATTCATTCAACAACTCTTGAAAGCTACTCAAGTGCTCTGCAACACTATTACCATCCCTGTTCTTTAAATTCACAAGCCTTCTGATCACAAAGGCCTTGTTCTGTGCCGTCTTTCTTTCATAAAAACCTTCCAATTTCTGCCAAAGACTGTATGCATCTACTTCTTTAGCTATATGATGGAAGACACTCTGATCAACCCATTGCCTAATTTGTCCAACAGCCTTTCTATTCAATTTCTTCCAATCCTCATCAGTTTTAGAATCGAGTTGCTTGTCATTCAATTCAATGGGATCGAACAAATCTTTGCAATACAAAATATCCTCCATCTTAGTCTTCCAAATAGAATAATTTGAAGATGTGAGTTTAACCATGCCACTAGCCGATTTCTCCATTTTAATTCTCACAATAATCACAGATTCTCAACCAAAGCTCTGATACCACTTTGTTGGGGATTGAACCAATTAACACAACCACGCAGCGGAATATAATCTCACAATCCCCTATTATGCAGAATTAATAATGGCAGTAAAATAACATCGGCTCCAACTCACACACACTAGCAGAAATGTAAAGATAAGAACACCAATAATTGTTCACTAGGGAAACCCTTCAACGTGAAGGTAAAATCCCGGGACCTAGTCTAGTAAAGCCTTCCACTATTAAATAATGGAATACACAATTAACCCTCTCCAGAATACAATCTAGAGGCTACCAATACATCAAGAATACATGTAGTTCTTGGATATCAACAACAACAACATCCAAAATAAATACACACAATAATAAAGAGAAAATCTCACTAGACTAGTGTGTAAAGCCCAGAGAAATGGAGAAGAATATCGACGATCAGCTCCAGTCAAAATGTAAGTATCTTTACCAAAAATAACATACTGAAATTTGAGATAAATCGGACTACAAACGAGCCCCCATCATTTGGCAAGAAGAACTAAAATGCCGTAAGTTTCTCTCTCGCGTAACTCTCTGCTTCAATAAAAGAAAAAAAATGGACTTGCCCTTTTTGGAATGTAATTTTTTTCTACCCCGTTTTTCAGCTTGTCTATATTTGTACATTTAACTTGGGTATTAAAATGGACCATTAAATGGGTCAAGGCCTTAGTGGGCTAATATTAGAGCAAGTCCATCAAGTGGAGGGAAAGCCCAACAGGATTCATAGTTCATTCCATTGCTATGATAAGCTTGGGTTCACCATTTCAATGGAAGAGAGAAATTTGTTAATAATGTTAAATAAGAGGAAGATGAGTTCTTTCAGCCCACCCCCACAAGGAAGGGGGCTATATCTCATACGATGTGAACTAAAAACTTTGCCCATTTCGAATGAGCAGAAATGGTAAAGCGAGTAAAGATCTAGTTTGTTCATCCAGACAATTCCATAAACAATAACTAGCCACTCTTTTAGAATGTAGAATATTAATTTACCCATTAGGACCGTTAACAATAAAATCCGATAGTAGAAACATTTTTCGAGAGAGGAAAAATAATTATCAAACAAAAATATGTGAAATTAAGAATGCAGCATAACCAAGAGAAGATGGTAAGCGAAATGCACCCTTCGATTCTGAGTTCATGGGACGTAAAATTGCAGATTTTCCTTTCCGTGAAATAGATTTATATCAAATTCTACCATCATCAAATAGGACTCACCAAAATTGGTTAACTTAGAATGCAACCTTTACCTACCCATTGAAAGTTGTAGCAAATATTGGTTTTGTTTTGTAGCTCTAAACTGAGCTAATTGAGTCTCAGCAGCTGAAAATGAATGAATGAACACGTGAGGCAATTCCAATAATACAACAATGCAACCTCTAAATTCACAGACCTACCAGAATTCTCTTATGTTACCCTCTTCAACTCAAGATTACAAACGTATGCACCGTACTCCTTTTTTTTCGATAAGAACATAACACAACTATTTTATCCTCTTTTATTACTTCCTGAAGAAGATGTGGCAAAAAAGTTATGGATTAAGGAGCTGGGAAGACTTCTAACAACTGGGTAAGGGTCCAGAGAGTGGTGTCTTGGCGTATGGCAGCGGCGGATACAGTGAGGCAACGGCGGCAAAGGTGTTAGCAGAGAGGTTTGAGTTTGGAGAGGGTCATCGGTGGGGGTAAGAATGATTTGGTGTGGTGAGGTTGGAACTGGCGAATGTGTAATAACAGACATTTTGGAGGGTTTTTTATTAGTTTGAGTTGGTCATAGAGAAGGATTACCGGACTAGAAAGCGCCACCACAAAGGGTACGCGGAAGATGAGTTTTCATTCGGTGACAAGTGTTAAAATGCGTTGTGAGTTACATTGCCTGCTATAACCTTCCACGTAGCATTTATTGGAAAATTGAATGGAGAAAAGGAAAAAAAATGAATTCTATTACTCCAGAATCTTCCGCTGTGCATTACATTCAGTTATGTATATATAGAAGTTGAATTACATCAAGAAACTAACTAACTGTAACTACCAACTAACTAACTCCAAGCTACAACAAATGTTTGATGGACAGGTGGACAAAGTAGCATATAGTTGATTATATTCCAGCTGTTTCCATAGTTGCATTTTTTGCGTGTCTTGATTCTGTTACTCCTCATCAAGATGGAATGTGGGGATTGACCACAGTCATCTCGGACAAGAGTGAAAACAATGAAGAAGCAGGCAAGGCTTTTGTAAAAATATTAGCCAACTGATGATTGGAACAAACCGATAATAATTTGATAGAACAATTTGCCACCTTATCCCGCACAAAATGACAATATATCTCAATGTGTTTAGTTCGCTCATGAAAAATGGGATTTGAGGCAATGTGAATTGCTGCAAGATTATCACAGAACATGACAGTAGGATCCTTTTTGGTAATCTGAAAATCAACAAGTAATTGAGAAATCCAAACCAATTCACTAGTGGCCGAGGCTAAAGCACGATGCTCAGCTTCGGCTGAGGACTTAGAAACTTTAGTCTACTTCTTGGCTTTCCAAGAAATCATATAATCACCAAGGAATATGCAAAAACCAGTGATAGACTTCCTCGTATCAAGACAAGCGCCCCAGTCCGTATCAGCAAATGCGCGCAGTTGAAAGGAAGAATGGGCTGAGAACGAAATTCCTTGACCAGGACTTGCCTTGATGTACTGTAAAAGGTGATGAGCTACATCCAGATGAGGCTTCCTGGGCCAAGACACAAATTGGCTTAACTTGTGGACAGCATAGGTGATATCTGGCCTAGATATAGTGAGGTAGAGAAGACGACCGATCAATTTGCGATACATAGAAGTATCAAGAACAAGATCACCTTCCAAAGAACTGAGTTTTAATTTTGGATCCATAAGTAACATAGCTGGTTTACATGCTAAAAATCCAGAGTCCTCAAGCAACTGTAGAGCATATTTTTTTGTGATAAAAAAAATACCCTTTTTAGAACGTGTAATTTCCAGCCCAAGAAAATACTTCAGATTGCCAAGATCTTTTAATTTGAATTGAGAATGTAAGAGACTTTTAAAGGAAGTGATTTCCAGCTGATTACATCCAGTGATGAGGATGTCATCTACATAGACCAAGAGAGCAATGAAGGTGTTACCAGAACCTTTGGTGAAAAGTGAATAATCTGATTTGGACTGTGTGAATCCATGAGCAATAAGAGCATTGGAAAATTTAGAGAGCCACTACCTCAATACCTGTTTAAGACCATAAATGGATTTGTGAAGTTTACAAACCATATTCTCCTGCTAAATTCTGGAACCAGCAAAGTTCATATAGCCCAACGGTTAGTCCATATAGATTTCCTCAAATAAGTCTCCATTGAGAAAAGCGTTGTTAACATCAAGTTAAGTGATGCACCAATTCTTTATGGCTACAATAGCTAAAAGAACCTTGACTGTAGTGAGTTTGGCAATTGGGAAAAAGTCTAAGTCCAGACCCTCTTGCTGGATATATCCCTTGGCAACTAAGCGTGCTTTGTACCTATCTATGCTCCCATCAGATTTATATTTGATTTTATAAATCCATCTGCAACCAATTGTGTGTTTTCCATCAGGTGGTGGTGTGACAGACCAGGTATTTATCATTTCCATTGCTTTTAGTTCAACTAACATTGCAACCCGCCAATGATCATATTTAACTGCCTGGTGGTAATATTCAGGTTCATAGTTGGATGAGATATTTAGGAGAAAATGACGATGATTAGGAGAAAAGGCCTTATAGGAGAGGTATTTTGATAAAGAGTAAGGTGAAGGGGCAAGGGATTGTGTGTTGTTGGTTAGAAGATTGCAATGAAAATCTCTAAGATATGATGGAGGCCTACTGATTCGAGATGATTTTCTAGAAGCATTTTGTGAGCAAGGACAACTAGGAGTGGGATATGAGACATTTTGTATCTCATCTTTGTTGCTTGTAGCATTAATTTGTTCATCATGATTAATAGATTCTGGCATATGCATTCGTGTATAAGTAGAAACAATATCAGAATTAGGAATCGGCAACACAAGGTCAGGAAAGGGATCGATCATGTCAGGAGAATGAAAGATAGATTGAAAGGGAAAGATGCATTCATGGAAGACCACATCTCTAGAAATGAAGAAATTTTCGGACAAGATGTCATACACTTTATATCCCTTGATGCCACGAGGATATCCTACAAATATACAGGCTTTTGCTCGATGATGAAATTTTGTTCGACTAGAAAGAAGAGTGGATGCAAAACATAGACTACCAAACACTCTAAATTGATGGTAATCAGTAGGAGATCTATATAATAGGGAAAAAGGACTTTGATTTTACAAAATGGGGGACGGTGAGAAAGGTTGCAATTAAGATACAGTCACTCCAAAATTGAATAAGAATATTTGCTTGGAAAAATAAAGATCTAGCCACATTGAGCAAATGTTGGTGTTTACGCTCAACTACTGACTTTTGCTCAAGCCTTTCGACACAAGAAAATTGATGGATGACTCCTTTAGAGTGAAAGAACTCAGTAAACTTCAATTCTAGGGTGTTATCTGATCTGAATTTCTTTATAGTTGTTTCAAATTGAGTTTCAATCAACTTAAAAAATCTGGGAATGATGTGACAAGCCTTCGATTTATGTTTCATGAGGTAAACCCAAGTAAAACGCGTACAATTATCTACCAAGGTAAGAAAATACTTATTTCCAGAATGAGATGGTACATGGTAAGGACCCCATGTATCACAATGTATCAAGTCAAAAGCATTGACGGACGAGTGAGTGTTTGACATGAAGGAGAATCTTCTTTGTTTTGCCAATGGATAGATAGTACATGGAGCTGAATTGTAGTTACTTTCCTTATCACTAGTCAAATGCAATTGATCTTTTAACAGTGCTACTTTCTGGAATGACAAATGTCCTAACCTGTGATGCCAAGTATGTGCATTCACTTTATTTACAGCTGATGAAAAAGAAACATAAACATCATTACAAGAAAGATTCCCTTCATTGACTTGTGAGGAAGATGATGCACTTAATATGCATAGACCGGCAACTTGCTTAGCCATGCCAATCATCTTCTGGTGGAGCATATCTTGGATAACACAAGTATTAGTGGAGAATCTAACATCAATGTGAGCGTCCCTGGTCAATGAACTAATGGACATTATATTGAATTTAAATGTTGGTACTTACAACACATCTTCAAGTAACAGGTCATGGCTAAACTTTACAGTCCCAATGAACTTAACAGAGATTCGCTTATGATTTAGCAAAGTGACATGAGCATTTTTAACTGGTTTCATAGTATGGAAGGCTAATTTACTGAAGCAGATATGACTTGTTGCCCCAGAATCCAATATCCAGTGCTTAGGTGACTTTAACCATGTGTCAAGTGCAATGGAACAGCATGTGTCTGATACTTGATTGCAGTTTTCATCAGTCACTGAATTAGTCTTAGGCGAGGCCACATGATTGCGCAACCTACTCAATAGTTGTTGATATTGAGTTTGGTTTAAGAACTGCATGAAGTCTCCTACAATATTCTGTAGTTGTTCTGAATTGGATTTAGATGCTACTTGATTCACAACAACTTGTCTTGATTGGTTTCCCACTTGATCATTGAATTTTTGCTTCATCTTATAACCTGGAGGATAGCCGTGTAATTTATAACATTTATCCACTGAATGTCCTACTATTCCACAATATGTACACATGGGTCTTTCCTTCCTTTGAAATTTGTTGTGCATTTGTCTTGAACCACGCTTTTTAGGATCGGTTTTGGTGTAGAACGCTATAGAGTCTTCAGTGGCAGGATTACTGGTACTGGTGTTGACACTCCTTTGGTGTTCCTCCTGAGAAACAAGTGAGAAAACTTTATTGATGAAAGGTATGGGATCCATCAGTAGCAGCTGCCCCCAAACTTGAGCATAAGTTTCATTCAGCCCCATTAAAGACAACATGACATATTCCATCTGATAATGTTCAGAGAGCTTCTTGGATCCACCACGGACACACTTTCCACATGAGCATATTGGTCTGTAATTGCTTAGTTCTTCCCACAGTGTCTTCAATTTGGTGAAATACACACCAACCGACATTTGGCCTTGATTGAGATTCATCAGTTCATGCCTTAGCTGGAAAATTCGAGGTCCGTTTCTCTGTCGAAATCTTTCCTTCAGATCAATCCACATATCATGTACTGATTCGGAGTAGATAACACTTGCCGCCTCTTTCGATACTGAATTGAGTATCCATGAGATGACCATATTATTGTTGCGGACCCAATTATTGAGTTATTCGTCATTGTCTTCAAGTTTCGCCAATGACCCATCTATAAATCCGAGTTTGTTCTTCACGAATAGGGCAATCACCATAGCTCTGCTCTATGAAGCATAGTTATCACCATTGAGAGGTTGTGACACAAGTACAAGCCCTGGATTGTCTGAGTGATAAATGTAGTAGGGACTAGATGCATCATCATTACCGGAATTATTCACTGATGATAGTGAATTATTGGTTGCATTGGTTGTTGATGCCATATCAACCAAAGAAAGAAATTGAAACAATTGAATCAACCAAGACAGTTAAATTTCAAAGAAAATGTTGGCAATAGAAGCAATTAGTGCTCTGATACCATATTGGAAAATTGAATGGAGAAAAGAGAAAAATGAATTATATTACTCCAAAATCTTCCATCTGTACATTACATTCAGTTATGTATAAATAGAAGATAAATTACATCAAGAAACTAATTAACTGTAACTACCAACTCACTCCAAGCTACAGCAAATGTTTGACGGACACGTGGACAAAGTAACAAATGGTTATATTCCAGATGTTTCCATAGTTGCATTTCATGAAGCGGGACCATTGTTTAGTTATTCTCATTTTGGTAGAATTATTAGAGATTAGAAATTAAGCATAGTATTAAAGAATTCTTAAAAGATTAGACAAACCCCTCTCACGGTAACACAGGCACAGCGCACAGCATCAGTCTCGTCCAGTCACAGCCACTTGCGATGCACAGTGGTTCCAAAAATTTGTTCTCAACAAAAATTGTGCAGAATGAAAACTAGGAACAAGTTAAAATGGATTATAGAAAAATCCAATATGATATGAATTCGAGGGAAAAAAAGGATATACAAGTTTGTCGTCTTAACCCACTTCTTATTTCACAAGGGATTATCAGGGAGGCTCTCAACTCCACTCCGTATCACAATCCCGTTGTTGACGTAAAACTCAAACAGAAATTTTGGAAACAAAAATTAAAACTCAAGATATTGGCATGGCCAAAAATTAAATTATTTGCAAATATCCGTAACATGATGAATTCATGAAATTTTTTATCTATCTAGGCAGCGGATTCCTTGGCAATCTTCTCTGCCTTGGCAATGACCTCTTCTATTCCTCCAACCATGTAAAATGACTGCTCTGCAAGGTCATCGTATTTTCCATCCAAGACTCCCTGTTTAACACAATTAACAAAAGAATCAGCATCACAATTGATGACAAAATTTCACAATAAATAAAGGTGGTGAAAATTGGATGGAATAATTTCTAAAATCCTTCCTAAGGGATTAAATCAACTATCTCAAAACAACGGACGTGTTATTCTAGAAAAATAGGAGCAACATTTCATTTCAGAACATCTAGATCGGTATAAGATAGTGTAAGAAGGTCATTCCACCATATCCTTTTTCTGCTTGCATAATATGTAGTACATTTACTTAACTAATAATATCACGTTGATACCTTTGGAGCCAGATGATAATATAAGGATAACAAAAAATATAGAACAGGAAAGAACATATGCTGCAGATAAACTTTTAATACCTGAAAGCTGTTAATGCTCTCCTTCAACTCAACATATTTGCCAGGGGCACCCGTGAAAACTTCTGCAACATGGAAAGGCTGGCTCAAGAACCGTTGAATTTTCCTAGCACGTGCAACAGTCAATTTGTCATCTTCACTGAGCTCATCCATTCCAAGAATGGCAATAATATCTTGAAGATTCTTGTAGTTCTGAAGAACTTTTTGAACACCACGGGCTGTGTTATAATGTTCTTCTCCCAAGATGTGAGGGGAAAGCATACGAGACGTTGAATCAAGTGGATCGACAGCAGGATAGATGCCGAGCTCAGAAATCTAGTCAAAATAACAATTGAAACAGCCAAAACTTATAGGGTGAAAAAGATGCATCTTTTAAGCAAATTTCAAGAAAGTCTAGATACCTGTCTTGACAACACAGTTGTAGCATCCAAGTGAGCAAAGGTG